CAAACGCGCACTGCGCGCGCGCCGTTTATCTTTTTCGTCACAAGAGCAAAAATTAATATAATACTATTATTAATATAATACTATTATATTACGGTTACACTATAATATTTTTAACTTCTGGATACATAATTGTCAAAACCTCGCTGTGAGAGCAATATAGTGACAGCAATTCACAAAATTAGCGCAACGAGAGAACCAATCAGCATCGCGGAAAAACATCAACAAGTAGTATATACAATTGATTATTAAAAGATGTATATAATATTGTATCAATAAAATAATTTTCATTAGCTATAAAACCTATGAAACTATGTTTCATGATTTCACTTTCCACGCATCCAAGCTATATACATAATTGCTGTACGTGAAAAGTTTCACGTGAAATGTCAAGGTGTGAAAAATGAAAAGTAAAAAGTGAAGAATGAAAAGTAAAAAATTTCACGTAAAGTTACATGATTGACCCCCAGTTCATTTCGGATAGACTCGGTAACATTCGGTTTATTTATGTTTTGTGCTCCATTTGAATAGTGGTAAATAAAAGTTTGAAGAAATTAGTCGTTTCAAGTAAAAATATATTAAAATAGTAATGAGTTTTTGCGTTGTAGATAATCGTAAAAATCGATATAATAAAAAAAATATGGAACAGCTAGAGATGGAAAATATTACAAATAAAAAAATCTCGTTTCATTTGTAAATATTTATAAATTTAGGTTATGTGGGTTAAAAATTTGTAATATTTAAATTACCCTCACGTGAGAGAGTTACATGATCTCACAAAATCGTACATGATCGTAAGTTCACTTTACATGGGGAAAAGTTATTGACTCCCTGTACTCCATGAAATGAAACAGATGTTTCAATAACCTATTTTGACAAATACATACATAACTATGATACAATACTGTAACAATAGTACATGTACATGTTATGTACATGTTATGTACTACTGTTACAATATTGTGTCATAGTTACACGTTACATAAATTAATTTATCATATCTTCAGAATTATGAAAGAAAGCAATATATATAGCAATAGCAGTATATGCAATATATAAGCAATATGTGTATCTACATTTATTAAATGTAGATATTATTATTTAGTAGTATTTATTATTAAAGTTTATTTCTAATTACATATATTGCTTTCTTTCATAATTGTAAAGATATGATAAATAGATATGATAAATTAACTTATACGTTGTCAAGGTGTGAAAAATGAAAAGTAAAAAGTGAAGAATGAAAAGTGAAAAATTTCACGTAGTTACATGATTGACCCCCAGATGTACAATCCATACTCCAGCCAATCAGAGTCTACTAACGTCACGTGACGAGTGGCGAGTCTCTTCTTATAGGATCTCTAATTACCATCGATTTGTCATTATTAAAATTATCATTCCATTGAGTTCAATGCGACAGACATAATGCTGTCCCTTGTCCCGAGTTTGTTTACATTAGTTGTAACGACTTTCGATTATGGCAGCAAATTTGAAAGATTTTGCTATCTGAGTATTTGCTTAATTTATCTAATGTTATTGACTCGAGTTCTGGATAAATATTAGAAAATTTCAAAAGAACATTTGTAGCCGATAGAAAATAGACTTGTAAAATTTACGAAAAACCTCTTTTGTTTCAATAATCATTAAATTTCTACATATTTGAAATTTGTTTGTATTTTTAACAATTCAAATTACATAGATATTTATTGATTACCGAAAAAAGAAGATTTTTAGTATATTTTACAAATCTATTCTATCATAAATAATTTATAGTTTATTATGATTTATTTATTACAAAATCAAAAATGTATATTTATAATATTCACAAGTCATATAAGTCGAGTAATACAATTAGTCAATATTATCATTTTAGATTGAATGTCATGAAGCAAATGATAGATTTATTATTATTAATGTGTGTGTTATCATAATAGCAAAAATATCATTTTTGAACTTAATATATGTATATTATGTGATTAACTAGACGTTCTTATAATATGTCATAAAGTGAATAGTTTAAAAAATAGTAGTTGTTACTATTACTTAATAATTAATAACTGTTTAATAAAATATTCATTATTTAAGGACATACCTTTCAATCAGAAAGCACAAGATGTGCTCGAATATACCAAATAAGAAATGTAATACAATTAATTTTATATGACTAGGTTGATTTTGGTTAAATCGTGACTAATCTAATATATGAACGGATCATTGACTAAATTTTACAATTTCTTCCAAGCTATGTCGCAGATCAATGCCATTGTGCCAAAATACAATTTTCGCCTTCATCAATGCAGAATCAGATAATTTATTCAGTTGATCTTCGAGCGCATAATTTTTGCGTGGGCATGCCAAATCGGTCTCTGAGAGACGCAGAATTGGACAAAGATCATTTTTTCCATCACCAATGTAGATGATCCTCTTGAAATTCTTACCCTGCTTGCGTCTCTCCTGAATGTAATCCATCAAGATCTGCCCTTTGCAAAGATTGATGGCACTCAATGAGCATGCGTGTTGCATGTGATACGGATGTACCCAGAGCCTCCCTGCAATATCGAAGTGAGCTGGATTCGTGAAGACATGCGATATGACATGATCAAGTTTTCTGTTTTTCAGCCAGTGGCCTACAAACACGCTATTAGAGTCACTAATAATGATAATTTCATGTCCACTAGCTTTCAAAGAAGTAAGAAGCTCCTCTATCCCTGCAACCGCAGGTATATTGATGATAGCATCCTCAATCTGCTTATAATTTACAAAGTCAAGCAAAAGTTCGAAGATTTTATTCATGTAGATTACCCAGCCACTGGATTTATATAGATCTTGTATTTCCTTAGATATCAAGCTTGTTGGTAATAGTTGTTGTACTACTACATCGGTGTTATTATCACAGATAGTTTGGTCGAAATCAAATGCCACAAGTACACTTTGATCCATGCTTATGTTAATTGAGTTGTTTAATTGTCAAGATTTATGCCAAGTTGCAGCTGTACATATCTATCAGGACATGAGCATTATTTAATTAAACTATTATTATTTCCTAATACTAAATAATTTATTGAACAAAATTTGACCATATACAATTCA